CTTCTCCTTCTAGGCATTTTTGGTCATTAAATTCCTCTTCTTCTTGTTAATTTATAAACAGTTAATCAATACCTCCTTAGTACATTAAAAAAAGGAAAAAATATTTGTTAATGATTTTCACTGCATCTAAGTTATTATTTTAGTATAATATTTTAAAAAGTTCTTAAACTGTTTAAGAGAATTTAAATAATTTATTATTCTTATATTAAGTTTAATCAATCATCTGTACTTTTGAAAGGCTTGAGACTTTCCATAACATACTTGGAAGAGAACATTAATATAATTAAAAGCAATTTTCAAATGAAAAAAAAAACTTTTATATTTTTATTTTGAACCAAATATATCCTTATGAATAACGGTTCTAACTTTCATAAGTAAAAACGTCATTTATCATTTTATATTTATATGAAATTGATTGAAAAATATCATGTGATTATATCATCATATCACATTAACATGTCATGTCACTCTCTACTATAATATGTCAACATATCGTATTAGCATTACGTGATATAAAATTAAAAGTGATATTTTGACTAACAACTCTTAGTCAATTATTAAGTATAAAAAACTATTTGATTCAAATTACAAATATAATAACTTGATTGAAAGTAACAAAAAAAATAAAAATTTATTATAATTGTTTTAAATAATTAAAAAAATTTCTTAGAATTATGCCAATTATTTTCCATTAATATACGTAATTGGCATGTACAGCAATACCATGAACCATCTTCGTCATTGTCTGCTTCTACTTCTAGTTAAATCTATGATTAAAAACGAGTGGCTGTATAATTGTATTCTACAAGTAAGGCCCAATATTTTTTTAAAAAAGATATGTATAAAGACATGCCATTCTCTCTTCTTCTTCGGTGTAGCCTTCCCAATTCTTTGGTCTAAATTTGTTGAGCCTAATTAATTAAATTATCATTCACTCTATATATAGCTAAAAACAATTGACTAAACAATATTTACATAAAATTAATTAAGCGCCAATGCAACACCAAAAAATGAATGATCCATCCAAATGTAGTGGTTTGCAAGAATTGGTCGTATATAGCAAAAACAAATAATTAAGATGGCAATGGGATTCCTTTTATCTTCTTAATTTCGTTTTTATTTGTCCCTTTCCAATATGATGGATTCCAGCAAAATTCGTGAGAGGTTTGAAAGTCTTAAATTCTTCGTCAAAGGTCGACACAGACTATTATCTGAGAAAAAATTACAATTAATTAATTGGAAAAGTATTGCTTGGGCAGTGAAGCTGCTGCATTATTTTGTTAAGTTTTGACTCATTTTAATGGAAGTTTTTTAAAGGTCTGGGTGTGGGGACGACAGAATCTAGAATGGTCCCAGGCTATGTCACCCAGAAAGGAATATGGGCTAAATGCATTGCACAACTGCTTTGAGCAGGTAAAACAATATAGAAATGAATTAATTAATTCCTTAATAATGTTTAGTGACAAAGAAAGCAAGTAATTATTTGATCATTTTGGAATGAAAAGTACTGAGCATTACCCGGACGTCTTCATTTTATCCTTCTCTATTGTCCAGGGCAAGCAAAAATGTCTCCTTCTCGGAAGTTGTTGGAGAGAGACACCTCGTACTAAATGGTTCTTTGGGACACTAGCGACCAAAGACAACCACTGGGTAAAGTAAAGGAACCATGTCCATGTTTGAAATCAAAACATTTGAGATACACAGACAGACTTTCTGTTTTTTTGATGGCAGTGTTTGGCCTGGACAAAGCCGACACTTGAGCATAGAATCTAGTCTTTTGTGGCTTTGTTTGCATTTAAGGGATAAAGGGAAAGGTAGTGGAATGAAAGGATTTCACCTCCAAAAGAAAGAAAAAACACCAGAAAAGGAATGGAAAAGGAGCCTATGTGTTTTGCCCTTTCCTCTAATAAATCCTTAGTACGTACGGGCATAATTTGTGTTGAGTAATAATTAGAGAAACAAACTTCTCTATGTAAAACTCCACCGTATTTAAAGAAACTGAAGAGGAAAAGAAAAGAGTTTCATATATACATATATATATATATATATATATATATATTCTCATCCCCAAGGTTATTCACCACCATTTTTTTTTTCTTACGCGATAATGGAATGCATTTAGAATAACTTATTCACGGAATACGTATATTATTTTTTCCACGTACAGCCAACAGAGCGTGCAACAAAATAAAAAGGCCAAAGAAGTCGCAGAAATGTTGTTCCATTGTTGTTCTTCTACCATTCATAAAGCATAAATTCGGTGTATGCTTATTCCAAATCCAATGAACCCTTTGACTCTACATTTCTTTTCCAAAAAAAAAAAAAATAATAATTAGAGTTTTGGGATGTCGGTTAAGGTTTTCCTTTCAAATTGGTTGGGCTTGAATGGAGCTTTTTGACCCATTGAACAAACAAGCAACAGTTGCTTAACGAAACCACACCACGACCCTTTGAACAAACCCAAAAAAAAAAAAAAAGATGAGAATTATTATTCCCACAAGTCTATTGCAAATTGCTGGCCCTTGCTCTATTTCATTGGTTATCCCTCGGCTAACCTCACCAAATGAATGTAAACGAGTTATTTACCTAAATAATGAATGTGATGACAAGTTCAAGGCTCCATTTAATATTATAAAAAGGAAAAAAGAAAAAAAAGAGCAAAAAGACTTGACTTTATTTGAATAAATATATGCACTTTTGACATATAACTCAATATCACCAATTAAAACCTATCATAGAGGCACATTGGGATATAAAATTGTTGTTATGCTTTTCCTTATTTGTTTTAAGACTATCAAAACTACATTGTTATGATTGTTAAAAGATTTTGCATTTTGGATATTTTAAATTTGATTTTTTTTATTTCGTTTTCCACTTGCATTTAATATGACGTAGATAAGTAAGATAAAAAAAAAAATCATATGATTAAGTCTATAATAACTCCATCATAAAAATAAGTTCTCAAATTATAATTTTTTTATATAGAAAACAAACTATTATAATATGTAATTGAATGTTATAATTTTTTTTGATATACAAGAGTTAATGAAATCCTTGTGGTAAAATCAAATCTCAAACGTTATTTATTGAAGTTTGGGACTCTTATCTTGGGCTCCCTTAGGGCCTTCATCTATTTGAAGTTAGATTGGGCCTTTAAATAAGTTTGTACGAGTTCTGAAAATGCAAAGCAGAACAGGAGATGTTAGGTAGGTGAAAGAGGTCTGGTCCAAGGATTGGAGCTTGACCAATCCTTATCCAATTTGAAATTATGATATTACTGAAATGTCCCTAGAAACACAAACAATAAAATATTTAGATAGAAAGCATCTTTTTTTTCGAGAAAGAAAGAAAGAAAGAATCTTGAATGGGCACTTGTTAATGGCTGTGGAGCGCAGACGGACTTGGGCTCACAATGTTGTGAAAACGCTCATATTTGTCGGGCCTGACCAGTTTTTTTGATTGCTCCATGGGCAAATTAAAGTCAATGAATTGTTGGCTAACTAATATATTCATTTGTAATTGTTGGTATGATTTTATAATTTGTAACAGTGAAACCGCATTAAGGGAAGGCAGCTTTTGCAAATGAAGGGTGAAATCCGCTCACCCTAGAACGCCAAACGAAAGAAACTCGTCAGCAATAGCATCATGCATGCACCCTCCCAATTCTTCCACCTCCCAATAGACCTTAAGATACATGCCAATATTACTTTTATTAATACCCCCAGTTTTCAGATGTAGTTTTGCTTAGCGCCTCAAATAACGTGGAACAAATCGAAATTTAACACCTCATCCTAGGAAGTTTCCTATCAAGAACAAGTTCCAACCGTCAGATATGACCTAGCTTTGGTCATGCTGCCTTCAGGGCCATTGACCTCTTTTGACAATACATAATAATTCATGTCGTGTATAAAGCGCTGCCCATTTCCTAAACATTCCATTCAACAAATCTACATTGTACACTTGAAATATACCAATCCATGGAAGCCTCTCATCAAGGAGGGAAGAACACCGGGAACAATGGGAAGGGAAACACGGAGGTTCGATACAGGGGAATTCGCCGGAGGCCATGGGGAAAGTTCGCGGCGGAGATACGCGATCCAACGAGGAATGGAGCACGGCTGTGGTTAGGAACTTTTGAGACGGCCGAAGAGGCTGCAAGGGCTTATGACAGGGCTGCTTTTGCTTTCCGGGGTCACTCAGCTATTCTCAACTTCCCAAACGAGTATCAATACCAAAATCCCACCTTTCCACCTTCTTTAGCTTCTTCATCCACTTATGGGGTTGGTCGAGGGAATCCCCCTAGAGGGCAAGGAAGTGAAGTTATAGAATTCGAGTACCTGGATGACAAGTTGTTAGAGGATCTTCTCGAAACCCAAGATGATAGGCAGCGCCTTTAGAACTAGTTCTTATTATGTTGGATTAATTAACCATGGAAATAATTTCTCCTCTGTACGCAAGGGAAATCTTTATGGAAACTGCATTTGTATTCATTATTAAACCCTTAATTTAGATGAATTTTATATATTTTTCTCGAAGGAAGTCATCTTTCACATCAAACAGAGACTCGGAATCCCAGAGTACCGCGTGGTGGCTGTCGGGGTCAAAAACACATTGTCTGGATAAAAGAAAATGCTAGCATAAAAGGGCAAATGAGTTCATTAACATAAATAAAGCAACTGCACCAAAAGCCAGCCAAATCAAGCGAAGTCAACTCGTGGTCTGTATATGGGCCCTCAAATGCAGTTCTTTCATCTGCTTTTTTGTAGTAAAGATAAAAGGCCCAAATTGACAAAGAAAATGTTGATATTTCCAGAGCTCACATTTAACTTAACAAGTGAACCACCGTTTCATGATTATAGCAATTCATAGCTACAAAGAGCAAGTTACTGAAATAGAATCATAGTGTTGTTTTACAGGGGAAGAAGTAACTAATCCTGTTTGAAAAGGAGAATTCTGCAACCCCTTATGAAAAACGGACAAGGAAAAAGACTAAAAATGTTTCATTCTTTCTTGGTTTTATTCTCAACATCAAGAAGTTCCTCTAACAATTTGTCATCCAAATACTCCAATTCCAGAACTTGTTTTTCATGGTCCTTCTTACTTTCCACATTTTCGAAGAATGAAGAAGAAGAAGCAGCCATTGTTGCAGAAGAAGAAGAAGAACAAGGGAGAGGAGGAGGAGGAGGAGGAGCAGAATTAGCAGTTGTGAGTGAAATAATATGTTCGTCTGGGAAGTTGAGAATAGCCGACGAACCCCTCATTGAAAAAGCAGCTCTGTCATAAGCTCGAGCTGCCTCCTCTGCAGTCTCAAAAGTCCCCAGCCACAACCTAGCTCCATGCCTCGTCGAGTCCCGAATCTCAGCCGCGTATTTTCCCCAAGGCCGCCTTCTAACTCCTCTATACCGAACGCTGGACTCTCCCTCTTCCACTTTCTTCCTGTTTTGCTCCATTGCGTTGTTTGAGTTTGAAACAGAGCAGGCATTTATACTAGGTGGCAACTGGGCCCTAAACAAATGGAAAGATTTACCTAGACCATCCAATTAACGAATGCCAAAGTTTTCAACGAGCCAAAGATCTCTCAGACAGAGATAGATTTTGGTGCAACAAATAAGGATGATTCAGGCAATATGACAAAGGATGAGTTCACTATTGTGTTTATTTTTTAACAAATTATTTGCAGATGTTTAATCTGATTTGTCTTTTCCAATTCATTAGTTTTTTTTGGCCTATTGAATCAAACAGGTTGAAGTTGGTGGTGATGTCACGAGGGACAAGCTAATCGTTTCAATCAACTATTCCTTTTAATACATTCATAACAGCTATGTTTAGGATAAAACAATTACTTCTTTTGCAGCATTTTTTAATTCCTAGGATGTTTTCTGCTTTGCCTAGGCATAAGTGATGTTAGCGGTGAGGTGAGTCCATTACGTTTGCTGAATTCGTGGTCATCTTTCGCAGATTCTTCTTACTTTGTTATGCTTCGATTTATTAAAGCGTAGATCCAATGAGGTTGGATCTGGTCCTCGGGAAGACTAATATATATCTTAATGCAATTTCTGCACAGTCCAAGGTGAGATCAGATGGCTTACCTCAATTTGATTCGTTTGACAATAAGGTTGTCATGCTTTCGTGTAGGGGATGAGGTAATTTGATTGCGTCAACAGCTTTGATCACCATGGTTATGTCACTTGATGATGATTATCGGAAATAATTGAGCATAATAATGGAATCGAATTAAGTTGTAAAACAAGCTGTAATCGGGACAAAACGAAGGTAGTAGGAATTAGAAAGAACCACAATTATGTTTTAAAATGGTGCTTTAACTAAGATAGTACCTTGGAAAGCAAAGGGTTGTAAGATTAGTTGATTAGAGTTTGTAGCAAATTAACAAGAGTTGGTTTTGTTTAGTTTGAATTTGTTAGATTGGTGATCGCCGCTACTTTGTCTAACAAATAATATTGACATCCTGCTTTAGATCGATTCAGAAATGAGATTTTAGTTGAAGCGGAGGGGAGAAGAGGAGGATCATAACAAGAAACATAACCGACTGTAGTCATGCCATTGAAGAAGACGACCATATCTGCATCGGCCTTTTGCATATTCTGGTTTCAGGTAAGTCATAGCTTGTTCACAATCACATGTATACCTTTTCATTAGAATAAAAAAGTAGGGGCAGATTTGTTTTGGTTTTTTCCATCATTGGGGATAAGGGCTTATTCTACAAGGAAAATATGGAAAACACCTCCCTTCAAACCGTTATCATAAGCTGACGAGACGAGCCAGCCAGGTCCTAAAGGGGGTTGGACATTTCTACTCCCAATATCAAGCGGGGCCTCTTTCAATGGACAAGAAAGCAAAATGTACAAACTCAGCGAGATTTGCTCTCTTCAAGGAACACCCGGGCTTCAACTACTTTTGCATGGTAAAATCTAAAAATTAAAATGACTCAAAAGAATAGAGTTAGGAAAGCTCTTACTCTTCATTAATAAGATTAATATATATATATACACATGATTTCTTTAGAGTACAAGTAAAGTAAATAATATAAAAGAAAATTTTCTAATCCTAAACTCTTTTAGAGTGCAAGTAATAAAAAAAAAGATTAATAAGGAAAGATTATATAAAAGAATAAATTCCATCAATAAAAGATCCTCCAATACTCCCTTCCAAGTTGGAGCATGAAGAGTAGAAATGCCTAACTTGACCAATAGTTTATGAAATTGATCGTACCCAAGTGCTTTAGTGAATATATCAACCAATTGATTTTGGGACGAAATAGTACAAGTAACAATAGTTTGGACTGAATGTGCTGTCAGATGAAATGACAATCTATTTCTATACACTTCGTTCTTTCATGGAAGACTGGATTGGCTGCAATGTGACTAGCGGCTTGATTGTCACGAAACAAGGAAATTGATGCAGTATGTACCACTCCAAGATCTCATAAGAGTCGTATCAGTAAATAATCGTACTTGTGGTGGTGGCCATGGCTCAATATTCAGCCTCAGCGGAAAAACGAGAAACCATCATTTGTTTCTTGGATTGCCATGAGATAGGAGAAGGCCCAAGAAAGACAATATAACTAGTAGTGAATCTGCATGTTGTCGAACATCTTACCCAATCTACATCACAATATGCTCGTTAAAATAGTGAACCATTCGAAGAATGCAAATACCTTGTCCTAGGATTCCTTTGAGATAATGCAACGCTCCATGAATAGTATCAAGATGTGGTTGTCATGGGGCATGCATAAACTAGCTAAGAATATGCATTGCATAGTTGATATCTGGATGGGTGATTGTGTGACAAAGTAAACAACATATTAGGCAATGATAGTGCTCTGGATCAATGCAAATTTCACCAAAGTCGAGTGAAAGCTTGTGTTATTACTCTATGGGAAAGTTGGTTGGCTTACTGCTTGTGAGACCATTCTCGACTAAGATATCAAGTACATACTTTTTTTGGCTTAGTGCAATACCTGTTGGAGACGGTGCCAGATCAATTCCAAGAAAATACTTGAGTTTGCCAAGATCCTTGATGTGAAATTTGGCATCCAAATAAAGTTTTAGCTTAGAAATACGTTCAAAATCTGTTCTCGTGATAATGACACATCAACATATAAGAAAACTGCAATAAAAGATCCTCCTACACAAGAAAAAGTGAACAAAGAGTGATCTGCCTTTGATTGGCGAAAATCGATGGCAAGAAGAAAAGTGGTAAACTTGTGATACCAATTTCGAGATGCTTGACGGAGACCATATATAGATTTCTGTAATCGACAAACTCACTACTCCTCCTGTTTAGCAAACCCTTATGGGATCTTCATGTAGACTTCTTCTTCCAAGTCACCATGTAAAAAAGTGTTATTCACATCCAATTGATATAACTCCCAATGCTTAATTTGAAGCAAGTTCCAACAAACAACATATGGTGACTAATTTGGCAACGAGAGCAAATGTCTCATGAAAGTCAACGCTTTCAATTTAAGTGTAGCTCTTAGCAACAAGTCATGCCCTACAGCACTCAAGACTTTCATTTGGTTGATATTTGAGTTTGTAAACCTATTTTGAATCAATAGCTTGTTTACTATGGTAAAAGTTGTAAATTCCAAATATGATTTGCCTCTAAAGCGGCAATTTCTTTCTCCATGGCTTCCTTTCAATGCATATGTTTGACTATTTGGAAAAATGATTTTGGCTCATCGATGGATGAGATGGCCATTAAAAAGGTAGTGTGAATGGGAGAAAAATTAGAGTAAGAAATAAATTGTGAGAGAGGATGTATCGTTGAGTTGGCTGAAAGAGGAGATGGGAGTGGTGTGATGCTTAGGGAAGTGAGAGAAGGGGGTAAAATATATTCACAACTAGATAAGGAGCGTCAAACTTGTTGTTGTCATTTGGTTGAAATAAGAGGAGCTTCTAAAACAATATTTTCAGACTCATTGACAAAGTTCAAACCAATTGGGTTAGGTGGGAAGGTTGTTATGGCTGAAAAATCAGATCTAATTGACTCAAACCCATCACTGACAAGTGAAAAGGACTCATGCAGATTGGGGAATGAAGTAAACCCAATCGTAATAGACTCATATGCAACAGTTGGTGATATGGGTTCGTTTACTGCAAGCTTGTTGTTTTGAGACACAGGTCTAATTGTGCTTGTAGTTGGGTTAACGCTTGTAGATGACTCGCTTAGTCCAAGTTCAAAGACATTAGGCACTACATGGTTGAATGGACTATCCAATTTAGTAGTTTGATCCAAATCAATTAACTGTATAGATTTTGCTGTTGAAGAATTTGCAAATGGAAAAATGCCTTCCAAAAAATGAACATCCCGTGAAACATAAATATTTTTACTTTCTAGATCATAAATTATGTATCCTTTTTTCCCATCAGGATGCCCAACAAAAACGCCTGGTTTAGCATGTAGAGCAAATTTGTCACGTGGCTTGTTATTTATACTCTTATAACAAAGACATCCAAAGCTTCTTAAATGATCATATGTGGGATTTTTATCAAGTAAAACCTCATATAGAGTTTTATTTTGTAAAACAGTGAGTGGCATGCGATTGATCAAGTATATAATAGTAAGGACACATTTACCCCAAAATGAAATAGGAAGATGAGCTTCAAATTGTAATGCTCGAGCAATTTCTAAAAGTTGCCTATGCTTTTACTCAACAACTCCATTTTGGTGTGGGATGTCTATACAGCTTGATTGACGTTCCATGCCATGATCAAAATAATGAGCCATTAAATCAGCATGAGTAAATTCTAAGCTATTGCTTGTCTGCAGAATTTTAACTCGTAAGTTAAATTGTGTGTAAACCCAATTGAAAAATTATAGTAGATACATTATAGTTTTTGACTTGTATTTCATAAGGAAGACCCATGTTCTCGATTAAAATAATCTATTAAGGCTAGAAAATAGTGAGATCCAGAAAATGATTTGTTTTCTACGAGCCTCAAATATCATAGTGTACTAAGTCAAAGGCATGCATAGTTTTATTTTTATTGATGGCAAAAGATAATCGTATTTGTTTTGCTTTACAAGAAGCATCACCAAATAAAGTTTTCTTGCAATCAAAAGATATGGATAAATAGGAACCAAAGGAATGCAATTTACTAGTAGATGCGTTAAGCGTTGATGCCATGAACTTGCATTAATCAAATTGCTAACTATCAATGCCTTCTCCCCTCTTATCAGTTCCAAGTAAGAAAGACTATTCCGCTCTCTACCCACTCCAATTGGCTTCCTCAAGGGTAAGTCCTGAATCATAAAAATATTTGATCAAAAAGTTATTGTACAATGTAAATCATTTGTCAATTTACTAATAGACAATAAATTGAAACAAGATTCAGGGACCCTAAGAACTCGTTCAAGGATTAATATTTTTCTAGGAGCAACTTGGCTTAAAGCATGAACCTCTATTGTTTCACTGTTAGCAATTTGT